TCCATTAATCATGGCACGTGGAAATAGAACAGTCTACCCTAGTGAACGAAATAAAGGGTTCAGTTCGACATTCCAACCACCTGAAGAAGGCCGCACCGTACAACGGCCGAAACATTGTAATAAATATGGCGACAAAGATGATGACAATATTCCGAATAATGTAAATAGTGTCCATAAATTCGTCAATATTGAAAGATCTGCCAACACAATATATTTCTCATTTAAAAAAAAAAACTTTTAAAAATAAAATGTAATTTTCTGAAAAGTTATTTGAGAAAAATTAAATGACTTAAAGTTTAATTTGTAAACATGCAATGCGACCCTCACTGAAGCTTTCCATCGACCAGTCAATGATTCATGTTAGATTCTGATTATCGAGCTTGTCCTTGTGCACCGAACGCTAGGGAAGGGCATCCTGCATGTCTTTTTCCTTTTTATGTGCCATGTCCTTTCAGGACGTCGGCGATCATAGCTCTCCACCTCCCTTTACCCCTTGCAGCTCTCAACAAGTTCCTTCCCTCTGCTTTCTCCCCCAGACCACATTCTGTCATCCACTTGCTTAAGCCGCCAGTTATGTTACTCGCTGCTTTCCATTGTCTCTCTTTCCGTCTGTTTGACCCGTGAGTATCAGATTCTCCAGACCTTCCTTTCACTCAAGTTAAATTTTTTTTTAAATAAACTAATATGATCAGTAATTTCTTTCTTTCTTTTTATGTGCCATGTCCTTTCAGGATGTAGGCGATCATGGTTCTCCACCTCTTTCTATCCCTTGCAGCACTCAACAGGTTCCTTCCCTCTGCCACCTCCCCCAGACCACGTTCTGTCATCCACTTGCTTAACCCCGCCAGGTATGTCACGCGTTGTTTTCCCCTGTCTCTCTTTCCCTCTATTCGGCCCGTGAGTATCAGATTCTCCAGGCCCTCCTTCCTCATTATGTGTCCCTGAAATTTCAGCTGTCCCTTAACACGATGAAACAAACGCCACGTCGAGAAATAAGAATGCTAACCTTGTGTTCCTTATTATATATAGTTGTTTTATTCAGGGTCTCAACTGGTCATCTGGGTGGATGGGTAAGAGATACTTGAGATAATGTCTGTTATGACAGCTCTTCCCCCAACCAACTTTCTCGCCAATCTACTTATCCCGATGTGGTGACTGGCAATACGACTTGGAAGCATCAGAACCGCTCGACTTTCCCGCCAAGTAGAACTCTCTCCGATCCCAAGCATGACTCTTAATGTACATAGACTAGCAGCCGGATATACTGTATTTCCGGTTTTGTTGCCACTTGATCTCCAAAAATCCCTCATCCACCTAGTTACTTTTCATTTCCTTTCGGTTAAAGCAGATGCCGCTTAGGAAAAGGAACTTCAAAAGGAAACACTCGTTTGTCTATCAAACAGAAACTTTTGAGACCGAGATAAAACTATCTTTTCCCTTTCTACATGGGTGTCCATAGTACTACAATTAATCTGAATTTAAACAAATAGTGCTTACTTTTTAGTCTAAAACGTCGCTGAAAAAATATCTTTTTTCAAGAGGAAGGCGGTGTTTTTTGACGTTTTGAATGATTTATTGACAGCCTGATGCTCGGGAAATTTATATAAAGAGGTACATAATTGAAGAAAAATTGCATGACGAATACAACATGAACGCCTTTTTTATATAATTATTTGACTACCCAGTAATATTTTTCAAAAATCAATATTTTAAGCATTCTAATGTTTTAAAGAATTTTAATTAAAGGGTGTTTCATTAAGACGGATCAAAGTCAGTATTAAATAAATGAGTGTTATTGGTAAAAATTAATTTATTTCTCTATTGGATCATGTTATTTAAGTCATGGCAAATATGTGTGAAAAATAATATCGTCCAAATTTCTGCGAAGGCCTCGGCGGCAACCCTCCACTCGATGGTCAAATTTTTTGATGACGTCATTGCATAGTTGCTCCTCTATCTCACCGATATGCCTTATTATCTCATCCTTCAGCTGTTGAATTGTTGTTGGCTTGTTGGCATAGACCATCCTTTTGAGATGGCCCCCAAAGGAAGAAATCTAAAAGCATCAAGTCGCACGATCGTGGTGGCCAACTGACTTCGCTCTTTCGAGAGATGATGGGATCTGGGAACTTATTGCATTTCTGTTTGAACGCCCATTTTCGTAATAGACTTCGATGACTTGTTGTTTGATTGTTAAACTTCCCATGGTTGAAATTACCAAAGACTTAAGTTGTTAAATCTGAAAGAAAAAGAAAAAAATCATTAGACGCTTAAACTAAATTCACATTTAAAATTGGTCCAAGTTATTGGAACACTCTTTACTTTGGCATTATAACATTACTTCCGAAGACGCTTGCTGAGGAAATATTGGAAAATTTTCAATAAGTTTTAAATTTTTAAAGTACCTCTGTTGTTTTATGATAACCCTACAAAACCCTACAAAAATCAACACGATTTCGATCCAAAATTCTTTATAAAATCCTGGGAACTGTTAGACTGTAGTGAGCACATACAGTTTTAATTTAATAAAACGATATCTTGGCCACTAGAAATTAATACAGAATTTATGAAATTTCATAGATTATTTTAATTGAAATTTAAAAAAAAATTAAAAACAAGTCTTGTAAAAATGTATTATTCATCGAATCTTATTTCTTAGATAGACAATGACAGATGGACAATAGTGTCCATAATAAAGTTTATTAATAAATGCAATATGGCTGCGTGGTTAGAACGTTTGCTTTCTGACAACCCGAGTTCGAATCTCAGCATGGTCGATAAAGTGGTTTTTTTGATGTGATCGGTCCGGGGGAGGCGATCCCAGTGTGTGGTACCTTTGGAAAGTACCAGAAAACCATACCACGGAAAATTGGATAGACAGAACCCTTGGGAGCCTAGCACGAGTCTAGCACGAAGTCACAAGTCATCGTGACTGAGAGATTGAGAGTGCTGGCCTCGTTCAGACTATTGATCACGCTAGATAACGCACTCTCTCCCAGAAACTGCTACTAAAGTCTGCTCAGCATAGTTGAAGTATAAACCACATGTGGGCTCTGTCGGTAATGAACAAACACAAATGTGCCTGAACAGACGTCAGCAATGGGGATTAGCTAACACTTCTAGTAGAATAGCATCCTTGGATTCGAGTCGCTGTGCCATTTAAGTAATAAAAGCAATTAAAAGATATGTTCTAATTAAATAACGTATTATTTTTATAGCAATTTTATTTTACGAGGCAGAGCAGATTTTCTGTAACTGGGACGATGGTATGACCAAAAAAGATTAATGGTTTAAATTCTCCCAAGACTTGTCCCTATAAAAAATATAAACACTGTTTTAGTACAGCTAAAATAAAAATCTTTCTCGTGAGAGTAAATTTTCGAGTAGTTATGTTTAACCTTCTCCTCCAGTATAAACCAGGTTAATTATTGCCTTTTTACTCATGCATAATCTGCACATTTGCCTCCAGTATAAACCCGGCAAATGTTTGCCTTTTAGTCTAAGTATAAACTGGGCTAATGATTGCCCTTTTCACTCAAGTATAAGCCTGTCAAATGTTTGCATTTTGACCCAAGTATAAACCGGACCAATGATTGCCTTTTGACTCAGGTATAAAATGCAATCTTGACTCAAGAATGAGCCTGTCAATTTTTTGCTTTTTGAGCCAAGTACAAACCAGAAGAATGATTGCATTTTGACTCAAGTATAAAATGCACTCTTGACTCAAGTATCAACCTGTCAAATATTTGCCTTTTGTCCATGTATAAACCAGACCAATGACTGCACTTTGACTCGAGTATGAAATGAACTCTTGACTCAAGGATGAATCTATCAAATTTTTGCCTACTAGCCCAAGTATAAAGCAGACCAATGACTGCCTTTTGACTCAAGTATAAACTGCACTTTTGACTCAAGAATAAACTTGACCAATGATTTCATTTTTACTCAGTATAAATCAAAATTTTAATTAAAAAATAAACTAGACTCTATTTTGATTCGTAAATTACATTTATCTTAGTAAATTTCGCACAAAAAATGCTAGTTTTTGTGATAAACATAGAATAATATAGCAAGACCAAAAGGCGATGGAGATGTGGTTCTACAGAAGGATGCTAAGGATATCATGGACCGGGCGTGTGAGCAACGATGAGGTCTTAGAGAGGATACAAACAAGGAGGAGGCTTATACTTAACATCAGGAAGAGACAGCTGAAGTTTCTGGGACACGCAATGAGGAAGGAGGGCCTGGAGAATCTGATACTCACGGGCCGAACTGAGGGAAAGAGAGACGGGGGAAAACAACGCGTGACTCAAGTAGAGGGAAGGCACTTGTATGAGGCATGAAACCAGACTAAATAATTCTTATCAGCTAAAGTAAATGTAAAGATAAAAATTTATTTGATTTTTTTAGGCTCACTACAGCAGGTAACTACCACAAACCCAACCGATACTAAAACACGACACTCCCAGTAGAACGAGGAGCCTTTGATATAGGCCTCTCGTTCTGTCGTTTAGTTGCACCATGAGTTAGCCTTTAGTATAGAACACCATGATAAACAAGCCAAAGAGGTTGATGGAGTCAGTGAAAGCAACAATTGTCTTGGGGTGACTGACAAGCTATTTCACACGATATGACGCCGTACAAAAACCTCTCGTCCTCAGCGGGTTTATCTAAAACTCGAGGCACGATAAGCCATCATCATTTCTTTCCGAGCAATTTGGACGTGTAAAAATTCAAATGATTGAACGCTTTTAAATCATTCTACATTATTCAAATTGAATTGGCTTCAATGGAAATAAATACTCCGTAATGAACACGCTAAAACAACACACGGAGAGAAGCTTTTTTAAAAATCGGATTTTAATTAAACTCTCCAATCCGGGATAAAGAGATTATTGCCCAGTCAAGTGTTGGTCTTTCCCCCCCCCACGTTGATTTGAGTTCTAGCAAAGAAAAACAAGTCAACTATTATAGAATATGCTGCATGATATCAAAATCGCATGAGGCATGAAACCAGTTTTTTTTTCTCTATCTCTCTATCTCTTTCTCTCTCTTGTTCGCTCGCTCGTTTTCTCATTCACTCCTTGTTTCCACCATCTTTCTTTTCGCTTCATCCTCTTTCTTTTTATGTCTTTCTAACTGTTTCCCCTTTCTTCATTAGCTTCTCTCTCTCACACACGCACTCACACACACAGGCACAGAGAGAGTGGGGGGCATTCCTTATTTTTTTCTCCTTTGATCTTTTTTCTTCCTGTTTCTTTTTCTCTTCCTTTTCTTTTTCTCTTTCTCTTTTTCTTTTCATTTTCTTATTAGTTCTTCTCCCCCCCCTCACTCTCTCTTTCATTTCTTGTTATTTCTTCTTTGATCCTTTTCCTTTATTCATCATTCAATTTTATCTGTCTCTTTCTATTAGTGTTTTCTCTTTCTCCCTTAGCATTACCATTAGCATCCTTGCTCTCTCACCCTCTCTCTTTCTCTCTCTCTCTCTTTCTCTCTCTTTTCTCTCTCATTCTTTCTCTCTCTTCCTCTCACTATCTCTATCTTTCTCTCTCACTATCTCTCTCGCAATATATCTATCTCTCACCCTCTCACTATCTCACTTTCTCACTCTCATTATCTCTCTCGCATATTCTCTTTCTCTCTCTCCGTCTCACTGTCACTCTTTCTTTCTCTCTCCCACTATCTCTTTCTCTCCCCCATTCTCTCATTCTATCTCTTTTTCTCTTTCTTTCTCTCACTTTCACTATTTCTCTCACTATCTCTCTCTATCTTTCTCTCACCCTCTCACTATCTCTCTTTCTCACTCTCATTATCTCTCTCGCAAATTCTCTTTCTCTCTCTCCATCTCACTATCTCTCTCTTTGTCTTTCACTATCTCTCCCGCACTTTCTCTTTCACTCTTTCCGTCACACTGTCACTCTTTCTTTCTCTCTCTCTCTCTCTCTCTCTCTCTCTCTCACTATTGCTTTTTCTCTCCCATTCTCTCACTCTGCCTCTTTTTCTCACGCTCTCTTTCTTTCTCTCACTGTCACTATTTCTCTCTCTATCCCTCTATCTCTCTCTCTCTCTCTCACACACACACACGAGCATCTTGCTCTTTTTTTACGTCGATCTTTTTTATAATTTTCCTTTTTCTCTTCAACCTATTTCCTTTTTCTCTTTCCTATTTTTTTTCTAAGTCTCTTTCTCTTTCTCTTTTCTCTTTCTTTTTTATTAATCTCCCCCCTCTCTTTCGTCTTTTCTCTTTTTTGATCATCTTTCTTTCTCACTTCGCTCTCATTTTTTTTTGTTTTTTGTCTTTTCTATTTATTTCTTCAGAGTCTGTCTATATTTCTGAGATGAGGTATTAGGTACATTATTTACATTATTCGGACTATTGTCCTCATCTTTGTCGCCATATTTGTCACAACGTTTCGGCCGTTGTACGCTCCGGCCTTCTTCTGGTGGTTGGAATGTCGAACTGAACCCTTTATTTCGCTCACCGGGGTAGGCTGTTCTAGTTCCACGTGCCATGTTTGATGGATGTCAGTTATCAGTTATCTCCTGCTAATTTTCCCTCTGAAAGTTCTCCACTGCCTTAACTGGGTATTGCTGGATAAAGGCGTTGGTTAGATCCAGTGACAGGACCCAAAGAGTTGTGAGTTCAACACCAGAAATTAATAGGTGGTTGCATGTTCCTCAAAACCTCCTTATCAGAGACCTTGCTGTTGAACGTTGTTTATCGTCTTAGTACGATGTGTATTTTATCGTATCACCCAGGACACCTCATTTAATGGGGTCTTACCCCTCTACAGATGTACAGTCGGCTTATTTTGAAGCCCCAGACGACAGGGCGTAAATAACACAGGATAAAAGATTTTGGAACTCGAGTGGTCTCTTCTACTCCATCCGCCATATTCACCTTTCCATAAATTGATTGTTATCTTTTTTGATTGCTTTAAAATGCTTTAAAGGGAAGTTTGTTTGTTTTTTGTTTTTGTTTTTTTTTTAATTATTGCATCCCAAGCAAGACGCATCCCGCCAAGATACAATACCTTACTGGAAATGTAAGAGAACGACAAGACTTTCGTCAGGAGAAAAACAATCAATGAACAAGATTCAGCTCATTAAATCCAGAGTTCTTCGTGAGATTTAATCAGATCAAAACCTGCGGAATTTTATTTAAAAATTATCGTAGAGCTGCTTGATCAGTGGCATGGAGATATTGCAAACAGTGGTGAATATATAATTGAATAAAAAAGGAATTGTACTTTATTTTTTGAAAGAGTAAAGTCGATAAACAAAAATCGGATATTATTTCTAACGTAACCTCAAATAAATGATGTTTTATCTTTATCTGAAAACGAAAAAACAATTTTCTGGTGTGTACAAACAATACACAACAAAATAAGATCCCTGCAAAATGTTTTAACGAAATAATTATTTTTAAATTGAACATATTCTTCATATTTTTCCAAATATCGAATTCTCACAAATTATGGCGGCTGCTTGTCACATTTGTTTTAAATGTTCACAGTATTAAATGTTTTCATTAAATTTGTACTATTCACAGTAATAAATGTTTTCATTAAATTTGTACTGTTCTCAGTATTAAATCTTTTCATTTGCCGGTTAATCTTGGATAAACGTCAATGAAAAACAGGGTTTTAAAATTTTATTTAATTATTTTTTAACATGATTTCAATCAATATTTATCTCGTGTTTATTGTCGTAAATTTTCGATAGGCGTTTTTAAGTTGTCACTAGTCTAGTTCTCACTAGACATTTTATAAATTTCTGGAATAAAACTTCTTAAATCAATAGACTGCTATGAATTATTGTCAGAAAAGTACGAGTTCTACAGAAGGATGCTGAGAATACCATGAACTGAACCAGTTTTAGAGAAAACAAAACTGATAAGTTTATTTATATCAGAAAGAGCCAGTTGAAATTTCCAGGGCACATAATGAGGAAAGAGAGTTTAGAAAATTTGACACTCACAGTACATATTGAAGGCAAGAAGCACACAGGAAAACTGCGTATTACCTACCTAAGTAGTATTAGCATAGCGCATCAACACTGGATGCCGACAGTCTGTTTCACGATTAAGCGCCATCTGACGATGGCGTGATAATTGCATTTAAGCATGAAAGACTGTCGACATCCAATATCGATACCAATGCCATGCTGCTTATATTATATATATTTGACTTCAGAGGTCAAATCTTCATGACAGTTCTGATAATGACGACCCCGCCTGTGTCATCCGCCCTGTCGGATGGAGCTTCAGAATACGCCGACTGCACCACTGCGGAGAGGTAAGACCCCCGACACACATACATACACGCACGTCCTGGGTAAGACGATAAACTGATCAGGAGGTTTTGAAGAGCGTGAAACCACCTCTTAATTGCTGGTGTTCCCAGGCCCACTCTGTCCAAGGGTGGTAACACCTGTTAGGGTCCCAGCTATGGGTAAATAGTTAACCCTAAACTGGGGTTAAAATGCCATGGGAATGTAAAAATACGTTTTAATACCAGAAATACATTTTTCTAAAAAAATATTACCAGCAATGAATTTTGAAGTAAAAATTTATTACCAGCAATGAATTTTGAAGAAAAAATTATTACCGGCAATGAATTTTGAAGAAAAAAATCATTACCGGCAATGAATTTTGAAGAAAAAACTTTTTACCAGAAATGAATTTTGAAGAAAAGTTATTACCAGAAATATATTTTTGGAAAAATACTACCAGCAATAAAAATCTTGTCGGCATTACATAACCCATTAAGGTATCGATATGCTGTAAAACAAAACAAACCAAACCCGCCTGTGTCTTATCAAACTATTCGAATCGTATGCGGCTCGGAACATTTCTGATTACCTTCCTTAGTACTTAACACTGAATTAAAGCTGTTTGATGTTGCAAAGACCTATAGTGCCGCACAAGCTTTGTGTGTATCACGAAGGTAGCATTACGTTTCCAGGTTTTGGTGATCCCATATTTGACACTACAATGGGAAGCTTTGACGGTGCTCAGACCTGCGAAATTATAGGTATATACTTACTACACGAACTAAGCAAATTAATAGATAGAAATGACATAGGACTCTACAGGGACGACGGTCTCATAATCTTAAGAAACTGTAAGAAACAAAACACAGTTAAAACTAGAAAAGCAATAATAAAGATTTTCAAAAATAACGGATTCGACATAGATATAAAAACTAACCTAAACGAAGTAGATTTTCTAGAAGTTAACTTCAACTTAAGAAAAGGCACATATAAACCATACAGAAAACCCAATGATAAACCACTCTATATACACACATCTTCCAATCACCCGCCTTCTATAATCAAACAGATACCAAAATCGATTAACCGCAGGCTTTCCGACAATTCCTCCAATGAATCCATATTTAACAAAGCTAAGAAAGACTACGAAACAGCCCTAAAAGATAGTGGATTCCCAGCAACACTCACATACTCACCACAGAAAACAAAAAAGACCAACAGCAAAAGAAATATCATATGGGTCAACCCACCGTACAGCAAAAACGTAAAAACAAACATAGGAAAAATATTCTTCAAACTCTTACACAAAGGAATCAAGCACGCTACACAAAATATTTAACAAAAACACAGTAAAAATCAGCTACAGTTGCACCGAGAACATGGCATAAATAGTCAAAAAGCACAACAGGAAAACTATCAACAAACCACACGAACAGATTAAACCGACGTGTAACTGTTGAATAAAGAACGAATGTCCCTTAAACGGTAATTGCTTACAAAAAAACGTAATTTCTCCAGCCACGATAAAATCACCAGATAATGAAAAAAAGGTATACATAGGAGTAACTGAAGGACACTGGAAACAAAGAAATTATGCACACAAAACATTTTTCATAAGCAGTAAATAAACAAACAGTACGTTGCTTTCTAAGTATATCTGGAAATTAAAAACAAAACGCACAACTTACCAAAAATATCTTAAAAATAAGGAAAACTCATCAGCCTACAACAACCAATCCAAAACTTGAAAACTTTGCTTGAAGGAAACACTAGCTATCATTAACATCCCAGACCAAAATAAACTATTAAATAAACGATCCCAGCTCATCTTAAAATGCAGACATGAAAACAAATTTTACTACGTTACTTAAAAATCAAAAACTGAAAAAAGTAAATAAAATAAAATAAATACATAAACAAAACGACAATAAAATAAGTAAAATAAATTAACCCAAACAAATTACAAAATCACACCCGTTAGAATAGACGAAATAGAATAAATGAATAAAAAAATAAGAAACAAAATCAATGAACCCAAATGAAGCAAATAATAAACAAATTAACAAACCATTATGACCAAAATATTAGACTATAAAAATCAAATAAAAAATCAGACAAAAAGCATAGCTATAACTGTTATATAACGATAAAAACGTTACTTAAAAATCGAAAACCGAAAAGAGTAAATAAAAATATGCATAATATGCATTTTAATAAAAAAGACAAGTAAAATAAATTAATCTAAATTAATCTAAGTAAATAAACTTACAAAACGATACCGATAAATTATCCTTTAGAAAAAAAAGTAAAGATAATCTATACAAATAAATAAATGATGTAATAAACAAATTAAAAACTGCTCCCGCCAAAATAATAGTTAGACTAAACTACAGCAATCAACTCCAAAAATGAATAAATAGCTTTATCTTCCCAAACAAAAGCAAAAATATCAAATAAGCGACATAAACAAATTCTTAGTACGTTAATGAAACACCGATTAAAATTAAAATAAATTTATAAGATAAGAAATGAAAATAAAAAATAAAAATGTATAAAAACAAGCAAAACAATTTAATTCAAATAAATAGACAAATAAACGACTTCCGGCAAAACCACCGCCAAAATGGTCTACCCATACGGCACCACTGAGCCGTATATGAAAATAACCTAGAAAAAAAAACACTCGTGGCCTGACGATTGCGTCTAGGATGAAACAGCAAGTATTGACTTTTCACTATATATATATATATATATATATAGCATAATGAGAAGCCACGTATACTTTCTTAATATGTATATATAGAAAAAGTTTCAAATTAAAAATTATAATGTTTTATTTTATGAAAGTATAAATAAATAAATACTTTCATAAAATAAAACATTATAATTTTTAATTTGAAACTTTTTCTATATATATATATATATATATATATATATTTATGT